GAAAGAGGCCAGGTTTCAGACTGTTAAGGTACCTATAGAGTATAATCTTAAAGAAAGCAAAACAGACCCTACGCACATTTAGAGATTTTTTTTTACTTGTACTGCATGGAATTATGTATATGTTATGATCAACAGCAAGTCCTTTGAATAACTGCTATTCTTCTACATTCACAGACTTATTGTCTGGACTATAACTTGTTTTAGCCCATATTTCACTAGCAGGGACCTGCCCTCACTAAAGATGAATGAATAAGGTATGGCGATAGTGAATGTTTTTATTTACTTGGTTACTTGTGCGCTTGACGGTTTTGGGGAAGGATAAGGAGGACAACGCCGCTCTCAGGCACTGGCACCTTCTAAGAGATGGAGTGGACTCAGTGAAGTGATTAACCTTGGCTTGAACAGAGAAGAAGAATGTTGTTGTGCAGTGGAGACAGCCGGGTTGACGAAGGAGGAAGTAGGCAGAGCCGGAGTGGAGCGTCTCTCTGCGTCATCTGCTGGTGTGCTAGGGAAGCCCGTGAGGATGCTCAGTGGGCCCGGAGTGGCCATGGAATTGGAAAGAGGCCACTTGGCAAAGGAAGGCAAGAGAACAGATGGTATCTCAGTACCAGAAAAGGAGGAAAAGTTAGCAGGCACCCTGGTGCCTGGTGAAATGGCAGGGGAGGAAGAAAACAAAACAGAACACAGAACAGAACAGAAGGAGGCAGCCCAGTGCCCAGGCAACGAAATATGAAGGAAACAGAATGAAAGACATGAGAGGAGCATCAAGTGGCTGGTGGCAGGAAAGTTGTAGAGATGAGGCTGGAAGAGTCCTCGTGGAGCCGAAAAACGAGGGAAGGTGACAATGCAGCCAACGAGGAGGACATGTTGGTAAAGGCTCTATTCTATTATAAAGCCTCGTCCGGTTCTTTCAAACCAGGAACTCAGAGGGACGACTCAGACCACTTGAGTATATAAAAAATATAACCGTGCTGGTTTATTCAAAGAGTCACAGGCAAGAATTAACATTACATTTCCAGAGATCTTCCAACCCCCAGGCTGCCCAAGCAGCCCGGAAGCAGAAAAAGACCCCGAACCTAGAATTGCTATACAATATCATCACTTAGTTGGCTCGCCCCCTCCTCCACAGAAACGTCAACCGAGACGTCTCTCTCTCACCAGCTTTGCAGCTGGCT